TGGTTTTTTGATGAACCTTGAATTTGAAGTGTTGAAGGGTTGATGTGCGATTGTAGCGGGTCAATTTTATTTTGATTTCGATAATGTTTGGATTGTTCGGAATTGTTTTGGATTTTATTGAGATTTGATTGAGTGTTGTTCAGTTCGATCAGCATCACATGAGTCGAGCGGAACGTTCATCGATAATGGGTGGAGGTCGAAGCAACGAAGAGGCATCGAAACGCTTCTGGGTGACACTCCAAAACAACGCACAACAACTGAATGAAGCTGCATGCAGACCGATGGCGATATGGCATTCGAAATCGTTGGCGTTATATGGAACAATACAGCAGGTGAACGACACCTTGATTTGTTTTGTTGATTCCTTTCAGATGAATTTTTATAGGTCAAATATTTGCCTGTGGATGGCTGAGCTTAGTGGATATAGGATTGGTAGATTATTTGAGATTGGCCAAAATGTTTTAGAGTAGCTAGTGGGATTATAGGAACTTTTTAAGGTGCGAAGATTATCATCGACTTGTTATATCCTTGTTATTATTATCTTCATTTTTGTTAATATTATTATTGTGTTTATCGTTGTTCAGGGACGACTGACGATTTGTCGTAACTGTGACGAGCAGATGGAATGGCTGCGGACATTAATCGAAGGACGTTGCCAGTCGGGAATTCTGGATTTGGATGCGTTAGAATTGTGTATGGGAGTGGCGATGAAATTCGCAGCGAATGAAATGGTTTGTTGGTGGTTTTGATTTGTTTGGATGATTTTACAGTAAAGTTGAAAAATAAGGAGGAGTTTAAATGATAGAGTTTGATTGACTGATTGATTTGAGGTGCCAGACTCGTTATCAGTTGAAGATATTCAAGAGTTCTCGAGGCACTTCCAAGAAATATCACGTTTTATCGAGGATGTTATCAGCAAATTCGCCGAAATGACACCGGTTGATTTCAGTACACACCGTAAGTTTTGTTGTTTTGACTGGGGTGGTTATTATTATGGTGTTTATTATTTTTGTCGTTTTTGTTGCGGGTGTCGTGATAAGAGTTGATGTAACTAGGTTTGTTGTTATTAGGATTGTTGTATTTGTCATTTTCATGATATTGGGACATCATATTTTATATTCAAATTTATACTGTAAATCCAAAGTTGAGATGTAAATTACTTTGTTGTTCAACTGACTTGTCGAATGATTTAATTATTTTGTCGTTATGATTATTTGAGTGGTGAACGCACACGTACCGTATGGTGGATCGTTCACGGCTGGTCTTCTGGCAGCTTCACTGAGACGGCAAATCGACGATCGTTTAATTTTTAGTCATCGACTTATTGCATTCGTTGCTGTGGCGAGGGCGATTTGCAATACGAATGTGAGTCTTTTGGAAATTTTTGCAGTTCAGTTTGGAATTTTGAGAACCAAATTTTGAATGTTTGTTAGAGTAAAAGAGCGTGATGATGAAAACTGGCTAATGTGTGAGAAAGTAAATTGTTTCTTTTGATTGGTATCTTGTTGCTTCAGGAATTTTTGTTGAAACGAGACGCTCGGTGGGATATGACGTTGAATATCCACGAGCGAACTCTGCACAACGTGAATCGACAATACACAGTACTATCTCAAGCAGCTGCGATCCGAATCGCAAAGTATGAGTTTATTTTTTCAAATTTGTATAATTGACTAATGATTTAATTATTTTGTTATTGTTATTATTATTGTTTTGATTGGATTGAATAAAGTAATCGAATTTCAGCTGTATTGATAATGAAACGTCATTAGCCGAAGCATTCTTCACTGGAACAGGGCTAACGGCAATCGAAGGTTATGCACATGCCAAGGTATTTGCCTTTTTCAACTTGGATGGTTCATTGATGCGCAGTTTTCTTACTCTGGATTGAGTTGTTCTAGACGGAAAGGAACGTATTTGAAATGATTTGTTCCGATATGAGAGAAGGCGGAAATGAACCTGTTTTTAACTTGAGATCTATTTGGATGACGATATGGAAGAGGAGGGTGAAGCGGATGAGGATGACGACGAGGGTTTAGAAGAGGAAGGCAATAGAAGCAAACGCGGTGATCGACTGGTGGATGGGAATTTGGATGCGACTTCGAGACGTCGACAGAATCTTGGAAACGACATAGGAGTGGTGATGGATGGTGAACAAGAGAATTTGGGATCTACGCGAATGACGATGGGCAGAAATAGAGCTGAAGGACAACACACTGAAATGGCAACGCGACGAAATTACTCGCAGTTTATTGGACGTTTAATATCGACAGCGCAAATAGCGTTATGGCCTGAAAGTCCGGCGTTGCTACTGCCGAAATTCCTGGCATCAGGACATCATTATAGTGCACTTTTGGTAAGTGGTGAGAGAGTTGGATTGTTTGCTTTGCTTTTTCTTCGAATGACTTATTTGCTTATTGCTTAGAGAAGGGAGAAGTTAATTTTTGATTATTGCGGTAATTGTTATTTATCGTTGTTGTTTAATGTTTTTCGTGTTATTATTATGGTTATTGTTTTTGTTGTTTCATTTCAGGAATATTGCCAGTTGAATGAGCCTTATATCAAAGAGTTATTGAATGCATTCCGATTCTTCGAAGGAATCGCATATTCCGGCTTATCGCAACCGGACAAGGTGAGGTGTTCTGATGGTTGTCATTTGAATGGGATTTCATACATAGTGCCGTGATTATTATCATTATTATTGTGTGATATTTGCAGGCACTTCATTCATTTTTGGACGCATTGGAGGGAATGGAACAACAGGATGAGGCGTTACGAGGTGTACTGTATGCCTTGGGCGATACGACTTCAAAGAATCCATCGATCACAGAATTCTTCTTAAATGTGAGCCAAATTTTTTGATGAATTCAAAAATATTTTAAGATGACTTTCAGCATTGAAGTGTGTTGAGTTGAACTGCTGGTTCAAAGAATTGAATTGAAATGAAGTGGTGATGTTAATACTAGTATTGTTTGGATGAGTAGCTCTGATTGTGAGGGTTTGGAGATATTTAAATGTATCAGTTCATTCATATTTGCGTTGAGGTGATGACGATAATGGAATCATATAATTACGGAGAGCAATTGGTGCAATTGGGTCGACTCGCTCTGAGGAAGTGTGTGCCGGACGATCCATTATTGGTAAGTTCTCATTATTATTGATGTTATTATTATTATTACCTTTTAATAATGTGTGACGGAAGTAATAATAGAGATTATGGTCGGGACGATTGAGGTTTTAAACACTTACAAAGAAGTGTTAACGAATGTTAAGGAACGAACTAAGTGCAAACAGCAATATTTTATGGGCATTTGATGAACTGATTTGGTGCATTCGAATTTGTTTGATGCGAATGGGGTGATTGACTTGGCTAAGTTGTAGATTTGTTTTTGATTTTGATTTGGATGTGGTGAGATGAATTGCGTAACAACTCACTTAGCGACTGAGTGCTTAACCAGGAAACGTGTTCTTCCATTTCAGGCCACAGTTTATACGACAATCTTCAAACATGAATTGCACACGGGACGATACAAGGATTCATTACGTACACTCCTCTCGAATCCATCAGTCGAGAACCAGAAGATTTGTTTGCGAGAATTATTGGCGAAGCTAATCGATGCTGATCAGCGAAAAGTGTTGGTGAGCCTGGATTATGGAAATATGGAATATCAAGTAAGTTCATAGGAAGATCATTTGTTTAGTTGGTTTGCGAGAAATGAAGTAAGTTAACGTTGGATATTGTAATATCAATGTTTTTAGGTGATTAATATACTGGAAGGACGTGCACGGGCAGCGGATATTTCCGAAGACAGCAGTTTGTACGATTTATTGTTTGCATTTTATTTCAAGCAGAAGAATTTTGTGAAAGGTTTGTTTTTACTGCGATTCTTATTTTATTTTTCATAACAATTATTTATTATGAATGGTTAGCGATCGTATTTAATGGTGTGGTTGTGAGTTTTTAGCTGCCCTCTCAATGTATGAACTGGCGAATCGTTTGTGTGAAGAAGTGCAAAATGGGGAAATTCTGCTAAGAAGATGTCGCTGTTTGAGTGTTGTCGGTGAAACACTCAACTTATTG